TTTTGGTGTCGATCATTCGATTTCATCCTGGACACTACAAAAAATGGGCTTAAAGTGTAAAAAACCGAACTTCTCCTTTAAGAGCAGCCTCTAATGCCATCTTAGACACTATTGGCTTTATTCAAAATGTGAATAGTCCCACACATTCTCATCTTCATACTTTGGATTTTGTGCTGACATACGGCATAGAATGTGAAGAAATAACAGTATTTCCTCACAACCCTGTCCTTTCTGACCACTTTCTAATAACTTTCAAGATTACTTTAACAGTGTTCTCCTCCCCGAAAAGAAGGTTACATTTTAGCAGATCATTATCAGATAGTTCAGTTATAAATTTAAAAAAATCTGCTTCACTTTCTGTCTCCTCTGTGTCGCTGAGCAGTTCTGCAGAGTGCAAAAGCTTTATTCCCCATCACAGGTTGATGATTTTGTTGAGGGGGTTGCTAGTTCTCTGCGTACTACCTCAGACAATGCAGCTCCTTTGAAAATGAAAACCATTTGAAATAGAAAGCTGTCTCCTTGGTTTAATGCAGAGCTGCGCACTTTGAAGCAAAATGCTAGGAAACTGGAGAGAAAATATCGCTCCACAGGCCTGAGGGAGTCCTTCCTAGTCTGGAAAAATAGTTTAATGCTGTATAAGAGGACCCTTTGTAAAGCAAGAGCGGCATATTTCTCTTTATTAATAGAGAAAAGTAAGAATAATCCTAGATTTCTTTTTAATACAGTTGCCAAACTCACCCAGAGCCATAGCTTAGTTGAACCATCCATTCCACCTGCTCTTAGCAGTAAGGATTTTATAGGATTCTTTATAAATAAGATTGATCCGCGATTGGTTTGTCTCTGGAGGGTGGGGGAGCATCTGAGGTAGTCATGGAATCTGAACCGGGTTTAGACTGCTTTGATCCAGTTGAACTCTCAGAATTAGAAAAACTATTGTCTTCATCTAAGCCTTCAACTTGTATGTTAGATCCAGTTCCAACCAGGTTATTTAAGGAGGTATTCCCTTTGATCTCCTCCTCCATTTTAGATGTGATTAATCTATCTCTGTTACAGGGATATGAACCTAAAGCTTTTAAGGTTGCTGTAATTAAACCTCTGCTTAAGAAACCGTCTCTTGACCCAGATGACATGGTCAATAATAGACCTATATCCAATCTTCCTTTTTTATCTAACATTCTTGAGAAAGTAGTTGCCAAACAAGTGTGCAATTACTTACACCAAAATTAACTTTTTGAAGAGTTTCAGTCTGGCTTTAGAGCTCATCATAGCACTGAAACAGCTCTGGTGAAAGTCACTAATGATATTCTCATGGAATCAGATAATGGACTTGTATCTGTGCTCGTCCTGTTGGATCTCAGTGCTGCATTTGATACAGTTGACNAGCAGCACAGCTGATGTTTCTTTCCAGAATGACGTCACAGCCAAACAGGAACAGACGAAGCAAAGCTACTCTGAGGAAAAGCAGAGAGAGCAGAACGTTAGAGATGATATGCAGCAGTTACAGCATTTAATTTTGACTTCTTGCCCACATTTTACATATTCATGCTGTCCAGCACACCTTCCACATCGCTGTTTGCCTTTACATATAGCTGCTATATGACTGAATTTTTTTGCATTTGAAACATCTCAGAAGTGGAGGATTGTATATTTTCACATTGTAGCTCATATATCCAATGAAAACCTTACTCGGCTCTTCTTGGAATTTGATCAACACTGATAAGCTATCACGCCTTTTTCCATTTCTTGTTGTTTTTAACCATTTCAGCTGTTTTACTTTTGCACCCCTAATATTTTCAAGCATTTCTTTGTCAATAATCTTAAGATGTACTCCTCGAAGCACTCCCCTCCCTGCTAATCACGTTCTTATCCACCAAGCTGCACTGAAGTCTTTTCCCCTCAATTTTGTTAATGCGTATAGCTTTACCTTGTTCAGCACTGTCTCTGCAGTGATGATTAACAAGTCTCCACTATACAGTATTATGGCACTTCAGACTTATCCTGTGAGTTTGCTTATCAATTTTGTTAACTGCACCGGATTCCAATCTGCAAAAAAGTCTAGCTGATTAACTAGTTTTAATATTACTTTTCTAATCATTTAGTTTTTCTGTGGAATTTCTAGATCGTTTATCACTTGATTGTTCTTTACTCGACTCCCCTTTAATTGGATGCTGCTGTTTCCGCTTTTTCTCATTTTTTGATTTCACTGTATTTTAATCTTCTTCGTTTTCATTATTTCCCTCTCCCTGCTTCCTGTTTCCTCGCTACTCCCAACCCAGGACATTTCTCCACAAGTGACTTAGAAACAAGCATCCTCTCACTCCTCTCACCTTCTCAGACACGCACATCAACCGAGGAGTTCGCTCTTCTTGCTACCATATGTTGGAGGGTTGATTTTATTCAGAAATTCTCTGGAACTTTTCTTTTAGGTGCCGCCTACATTACCTGTTTGGTGTGTGGTGTGTCCACTGCAGCATTTGGCAAGACTCCGTTTATGCTGAAATACTTTGTTGCACCTTGACTGATGTGAGTGTTCACATTGATTTGAATGATTTGGATTCATGCTGAATCTGAACTGCAATTGAACATGGATCTCGCAGATACATAAAGCATAAGTCAGGCTTTTGATAGAAAACTTCATCAAATCTGTCTGTATGATCAGATTGAATTGTCTCTTACAATTCAATTACAAATGTTTCTTCTAAAAAAGTTAAAAAACAATCCACTGGACTTTGTTTCCAAGTTTGAAGATGTTTCGATTCCCATCCAGGAAGCTTTTTCAATTCAAAATGTTAGAAACAGCGTTGAGTTTAGAGTGCACCAAAAACAAAGCCTTGTTTTGGTTTAGAAAACAGGCAAATTGAACCGGACGAACGGCTCCGCCGTTCAAAGGCAGTCCTTTGGGTTTTTTGTTAGCCTGCAATACTGAATACGTAATACCTGTCTATGTCAACATATGTTGCGAATTAGTTTTTTGTCTTTTAATCAATTTACTTGAATTAAACTCAATCTTACTATTGTGTTGCAAGCTCCACCCTTCCTTTGTCAATATTTGGTTTGGTGAAGATGCTAAGATGGTAGCACCTGTGGAAAGCTTAGAAAAGATAGTTCTTCTATTTATAGGCATACATTGGTACAAAATTACTATTGATCACATTTTAAAATGTCCATTAATTTTATAATGGACATTTTAAAATGTGATCAATAGTAATTTTGTACCAATGTATGCCTATAAATATTGAATACCTAAAGCTTAGACAAAAACTCGGTCAACTTTTCTTTTCCATTTATTTTAAAATGGAAAAGAAAAGTTGACCGAGTTTTTGTCTAAGCTTTAGGTATTCAATTCTATATCTCTGCTTGTTATAAAGCAGTCATCAACCCCATGTCCAGGTTAACCTTGCCTGGAAAGAAGGTATTGGCTGGATTGGTCGAGGGTCAATTGTGGACTCAAGTGGTTTCTTGTTTGAAAGAAAAAAAACATCTGATATCAAGTCAGGTTGCAGTTCCCTGCTGTTAAGGTCTCTCTCTCTCTCTCTCTCTCTCTCTCTCTCTCTCTCTCTCTCTCTAGATCTGCTGTGGTTTCTTCAAGCTGCAGGTATAAGTGGAGCTGAGTTTCAATCTTAGCTTCAGTCTGAGTGACGCTGAGGAGACAGACGGTGAACAGTTGGATCGGACAGAATTTCCAATCTGTCTCTGTTCTGTGACTCAGCATCGCATCATTCTCCACACTAAACGATGGCTGGATAGCTAGAGCTTGCTCTCCCTTGTTTGCACAAAGAACGTGAGGTTTCTAAAAGCTGTACGGTTGAAATGTGAAATTTCCTTTGGTTGTGTTTAATCTAATGAGCTATGAAGCAGGATGATGATAAACTCCACAGAAGTTTTGTTTTTCACTCTAACTGCCTACTTTCACACTGACGTTCTGAATTATTTATATTTTGCGGTTGTTTTGACTCTGTATGTTCTGATTGTTGGTTCCAATGTCCTGCTGATCGTGGTGATCTGTGTGAACAGAAGCTTACATGAACCCATGTACCTGTTTCTTTGCAGCCTGTTAGTGAATGAGCTGTACGGCAGCTCCAGCTTGTTTCCCTTCCTCCTGGTTCAGATTCTCTCTGATGTTCACACAGTTGCTGCTCCGCTCTGTTTCCTGCAGATCTATTGTGTCTACACCTACGCTCACATTGAGTTCTGTAATCTGGCAATTATGTCCTATGACAGATACCTGGCCATCTGTCGTCCTCTGGAGTATCACTCACTCATGACACCTTCAAAGATCACCAAGCTGGTAGCTCTGACCTGGTTGTTTCCTCTAATTGAATCTGTTGGGGCGATGTTTCTAACAGTCTCTCTCCAGCTTTGTGGAAACACCATTGACAAGGTGTACTGTGACAATTACTCCATCGTTAAGCTGGCCTGCTCTGATACGACAGCAAATAATTTACTGGGAATAGTTTATGTATTCACTGTAATCCTGGGTATAATCCTTTTAATTCTCTACACATATGCTAAGATCCTGAAAGTATGTTTTTCTGGATCCAAACAGACTCGGCAGAAGGCCGTCACCACCTGCACGCCACACCTGGCTTCTCTGATAAACTTCTCCTTTGGCTGTTTTTTTGACGTCATTCAAAGCAGGTTTGATATGAGCCGAGTTCCCCTCGTGCTGCGAGTTCTTTTATCTTTATATTTCCTCACTTGTCAGCCACTGTTTAACCCTCTGATTTATGGGCTCAACATGTCAAAGATACGGAGCCTCAGTAAACGTTTGGTTTTAGGGAAAAGTTGAGCTTCATGATGGGATGGAACATTTCATCCAGTGTTTTCCGAGTTAAAGCAGGTTTTACATTCTGCCTGTCATTTTGATGCAATAAACTCTCCATGCATATCTCTCTATTTCACTTAGATTCTTGTTTTTCTGCTGTTTCTGTCGTGACCTGCAGACTCTAAGTAAGACTAGTGAGACTACTGCAGACTAGTGAGCAGACTGATTTTACAATGACAACCAACATAAATATGCAACCATTATATCTGTTCTGCCTTTGTTCTGCAGGTAATTAACATGCTTAGGTGCAGAAGTGCAGGGCATCCAGCTCACCTTTATCAAAAAGTTTTTGCTAAAATAATCTGCATTTTATATCAAACTCAAACAGTAGCTGTTTAATTTTTATAGGAGCTGGTTTCTAGCTGAATGTGATGGAAATACATTTCTGAATGATTAATGGCACAGATCAGATGAAGGTAATGAGGAGGAGAATGCAGTGGGAACCAAACGGAACCTTCAGGGGAACATCCTATGGGATATCTGCAGAACACGAGTGCTGATTAGAAAAGCTGGTGGCAAACAGGTCCCTGGATTAACCAGAAAGTTCTAGGCAGGAACATATTCATTACACCTATAGAGTTTAACAACTGCAGGCCTCTACAGCTCTCTCTGTCTTAGTTACTGGTGCTTCTGGTGCTTTTCATGGGGATTAAAACCAAAACCAATTCATTGTTTTTAATATAAAGTGAGCTGAAAATCCATTAAGAGCTATGGAATATCTAGCAGATGAAAACTATTATCATATGTCAATATATATATATCCCCTGAAGGAAGCCTTGGGACTTTTTGAAAAATTTCCACATAACTGTGGTCAACACATCCACTCTCAGCACACCTTGGAGATAGCAGAGGTGAGGAAACTGCTAACTCCACAATCTACACTCCTGTCTGCTTGCAACTTGTAGGACATTTTTTGATGAGGTGGAGTGTAACGAATGGGCTGCTATTGCTCAGCTTTTCAATAAGCCTCCTCAACCTCGACCACAACTAATCACATCACCTCCAGCTGTTGCATGTTCAGAACCCCTTTGAACAGTTTTACCCATATCTCTGGATTCCACTTCTCCCTAATACTGTGCACTGCCTCCTGAACTGACCACCACCGCCAAATGCAGGCAATGCCGCCAGAGGAAAACTGTTACAGCCTCTCTAGCAGGTGAGCCTGACGCCAGCACCTCCTCTCCAGTGGGTCAGCATGATGCTGCAACATCCTCCTCGATCGGTCAGACTGAAGCCACCACTCCCCCTCCGAAGGGTAAGCCTGCTGCTAGCCTTACACTGTAACCAAGCCAGGTCAGTTTCCTCTGTAGTCCCAAATGCCACCTTCATGACTCCCAGCTATCCCCACCTCAAAGGACCATTAAACAGTCTATCAGCCTCACACAATCTCATATATTAAAATCAGATCACCCACAACTTAAAACATCAGAACTTTTTGAATATTTCTATTGGGAGAATTAGGACTTTTTTCCATTCCCTCCACCTCCATCAGCTCCCTGCCAGCCAGCCTATCCCAAGCCAGAGCCCTTTAGCGGGCCAGTCCGTAAGTCAGAGCCTCTTAGCGAGCCAGTCCCTGAGCCTGAGCCTATTAGCATGCCAGTCCCCGAGACAGAGCCCAATATCCATATCAGCTGATTACCCCAGTCTTTGTTCTGTCTAGTTTCGCGTCGGTATGCTTACAATGTAATGCAATGCAGACGTGCACAGCGCCCCCTACCAAACAAGATGGGTAGCCCGGTCAGAAAGGACCTGTGGAAGAGTGGCTGCTGACGTTACTCTGCTGCTGGACAGTACTTTGCTGGCAGACCACGAAAACGAAAAAGCAATGTCTGCTGTGTTTTCTCTTTGATTATGGCATAAAATGTGCAGTCTTAAAGAAGAAGATGCAAATGCAAATAGGATGATTGATTACTAATTTTATTTATGAGTCAAGTAATGCAGCCACATTCTTACATTTCAAATAGAATTTTGGAATGTAGTATTTGCTGGGGTACATTTTGAAAAATAAATCTAAAATGTCTGTTGTCTTTTTCATTTTAATTAAGTAAAAGGATGAGCAGTGTTAAAGAAGAAAATTATTTTATTACTAATTTCATTTATGAGTCAAAAAGCCACATTCTTAAAATGAAAAAGCATTTCTGAAAATGCTTTTTCATTTGAAATATAGTAAGGATTTGCTTCCATACTAAAGGAGCTGGGTTGCCGCTACATCCACCGTCATGTTGACACCAGATTTATATGTGCGGTTTAATTTTAACTGTATTTTGGATCAAAAAATTAAACATGATTAATCAATCTAAATTATATTAAAGAATAAATGATAATCCTTTATCCAGCAGTAAATGTAATGCAATCTATGATTCAAGTGATAAACCCCAAATTATATGAATATATGATGCAGGAAATTTTAAAATCTGGCGGTTTTCTTTCAAAATTTAGAAACTCCTTTTCTCAAAAAGATAAAGAAAACTGGTTAGCAGATTTATTAATTAAAGATATGAAAGGGATAATATTTCCCTTTATTTGCCTCCTCTTAAATTCATAATGACATTTAAAATCCTGTAGAATCTGGCATTCTTCTTTTAACATTTAGAAACTCCTTTTCTTAAAAAGTTAAAGAAAATTGGTTAAAAGATTAATTACTTAAAGAGTTACGGCCAGATTATACTAAGAGAGATAATATTTCCCTTATTTGCCTCCTCTTAAATTCATAATATAATTTAAAATCCTCCTTCTTATATAGAAAGCCTNGAAATATCAGCTGTGGTGCTGCCATCAACACCTTTGTTTATAGATGTTGGAGGTCTTTTTCAGTGTAGTCCTGTTTCTCTGACTGTGACTGGCTGGATGTGCTCTCTTCATCCTCTGATATGGGAGTTGGCTCAGAGCTCGTCTGCCTGGCTGTGTGTTTCCTGGATGGGGCCGTCTTTTACAGCTGCTTTTTGTGTCTCTGCTTCTGTGTCCTTAAACCACAATTGGCCTCTGCAAATGGCCGCTCACACTGAGCCTGGTTCTGCTGGAGGTTTCTTCCTGTTAAAAGGGAATTTTTCCTCTCCACTGTCACGACAAGCAAGTGTGAGGGATTGCATTTGAGTCAATGAGTCGATGCAATCAACTGGTTTTCCTTAGATAGAAAACTTTAAATCAATCTGACTGGATGACCTGGTTGAACTGTAAAGTGCCTTGAGATGACATGTGTTGTGAATGGAGCTATAGAAATGAACTGAACTGAATTGAATTAACCTGTTCTGAGAATAGAGCAGTGAAGCCAACTCATTAGCTTTATTCAACAAATATAATTATTATGTAAGGAGTTAATATTTGGTTCAGGTTTTAATTTGCAGAAGAACAGACATGCAGCACAAGACCATTTCTTTCCCTCACTGTAAAAGAGCTGTAAAAGGTGTATTTACAAAAAAAAATGTAAACATGATTAATCAATCTAAATTATATTAAAGAATAAATAATAATCCTTTATCCAGCAGTAAATGTAATGCCATCTATGACTCAAGTGATGCTAGAAACCCCAAAATATATGAATGTATGACGCAGGAAATTGTAAAATCTGGCGTTCTTCTTTTAACATTTAGAAACTCCTTTTCTCAAAAAGATAAAGAAATTTGGATACCAGATTCATTACTTAAAGAGTTATGGCCAGATTATACTAAGAGAGATAATATTTCCCTTTATTTGCCTCCTCTTAAATTTATAATAGAATTTAAAATCCTCCTTCTCACATAGAAAGCATTAAATACTCAAGGTCCATCCATCAGAGATCTGATTTTTCCAATATTTCTAATGGAACATCTTGCTCTCAATCGGCAGGTTTACTTGTGAATAGAATTTCTAAAAGTAGAATGGGAGGCTTTAGCCAATTAAAATTCTATTTATTTGGAAATAATTCACAACACGTTAATCCCACAAACTGATCATGTATTCAGCGACAGTGCAGAGGAAAAGTCCCTCTTAACAAAAAGAAACCCCCAGCAGAACCAGGCTCAGTGTAAGCGGCCTTCTGCGGAGGTTGACTGGGGTTCAAGGAGACATAAGTGGACAAACAAAAGGAACACAGAAGCACCTATCGATAAATATTTTCTGTCTTAGAAATGGTAACTGAATACAAGGAATCTTTTGAGTCACTCTGATTCACTTTTCATTCAAAAAACTGAAAAAGGGCATGTTTAGGTATGGGTTGAACTAACAAATACTTTAGAATGGGAAAACAGAGATCGAATGAAGCAGAATGATGAAAACTGGTCCTTATGTCTTGCAGCAGGCTTATCCTAAAGCACTATATCAGGCTCCTCTCCAGTGAAACCAACTACCAGTTTTAGTCTAAGAGGTACACACACTCTCTACGTTTAAGACTAGGCTTGGAAATTTTCCTTTTGATAAAACTTGGCTGATAAAGCCTGGCTAATAAAAAGTGGCTCAGGTTATCCTGAGCTAACTCTATATGTATGCTGATATAGGCTTAGACTGCTGGAGGACATAAAGACCACTTTTCCTTTTTTTCCTTCATTCTCTTATTACTCTGTAGTTTTACATTACTCAAGTTCTTAAACCCTGTAGAGGAAAAAAAAGACCTGTGTCTTTCATTGTTGTAACAATAATTTTTGGTTTATCTTTACAACCAGTTCCATTTTGGTTCTGCTGCAAAAGTTATCCCTTTAATAAGGAGTTATTAATTTCCAATGTCACTGCCTGCTTGTGGAGAAGGAACATAGTAACGATTTTTCTCCTCTTGTTAAAAAAGTTGGGATATGGCTAAAAATTGCATTGAGCAGTTTGAAATCCCTTAAAGAAAAAACAACATCACTTGGTGGGTTTATCTCTGTAGCAGTGACCCAAGCTCTAGCAAATAATCAGTAGCATAAAAGATTGACATCTGAAGAAGAAAAATAGCCAAAATTTATATACAAACTGTCAAGACTCGTACATACATAGTAGTTGTGAGCTGCTGTTTCCCTAGTCCCAGTTCTTAGGGAATAAAAACAATTCCTTAATGTAAATGATTAACAAAATCTTATTACCAGCATTAGTTAAAAACTTTTAGGCCAGCACACTTGATGATGACACATGTCTCTATACTAATGGGATCAGATAATGTGATGAGCTTTACCAGGTAACTGGAATTAACTTCTTCGGCATTTTCATGTTGACACAGAGATAGTAATGTCTTTCCTAAATAAATTCTTTGTTTTGTTTTTCATAATGAACAAAAAGGGATCATAAAAAAGACGTTATTCTTAAAATGACCACAGATATTACTTGTAAGTTATAAATTTAAAAAATTTGGTTTTCTAAATAGTTTTGACCTGGAGGTTGTGGTATCGTTAACACCGTAGAGACCCTCAAAAAGCTACTGTTTGAGAGGTGGGAAAACAAAAAAACTCTCAGCTATTTTTTATTCTTGAAACAATCAAAACATTTCAGGAACAGATTTTTACACAAATTGCGTATTTTGGACACGTTCAGGCCATACATCACAGGGTTAAAGAGCGGAGGACACGTCAGAAAGTACAGAGATAACAGTATTTGAAGCACCCGGGGAACGCTGCTCATGTTAAACCTGCTCTGGATTATTTCAAACACACATCCAACGCAGAAGTTAATGAGAGAGGCCAGGTGAGGGGTGCAGGTGCCGACTGCTTTCTGTCGGGTCTGTTTAGACCCAGAAAAACACACCTTCAAAATCCTCATGTAAGTGTAGAGAATCAAACTAA